GGGTCTGGATTTTCTTGTCCCGCTGGGGGTTTCAAGCCCCAGGTAGAAGTGTTCCCTGCCTCATTACTGGAAAGCACCATCCACTCATGGGCCGACCTTGCCTGGGTCCTGTGTGCCAGCACTTACTCTTCTGTGCAGCACCCGTGACAAGGAAGGACAATGTATCACCTTGATGGTTGTGGTGTTGGGATTGTGATTCCAGCATTCATGAGTCAGGGGAAGGTTCCTGCTAAGGACAGACCTTAGGAGGGCAGTTGGTCCAGGACCCACACCTGCTTTCCTGGTGTTTCCTGATCCTGCCCTGGGTCTGTAGTCACAGTTCTAGAAACTTCTCTTGGGTCCAAGACTAGGAGGTTCCTCTAAGATCCCATGGCCCTGCCTCCTCCCTGTCCCCTCACAAGACATTTACTTCCCGCAGGTGGAAAAAGTGGGAGCTACTGGAACTGGCGGGGGCAGGAGTGTGGAGGAGCTCACCCACTCCATTATTCCTCCTGCACCACGTCTCCTGTGGGTTCTGACCAGGTCCTGTTTTTGTTCTACCCCAGGGAGCAGCAGTGCCCAGGGCTCTGATCAGGACTCTGATGAGTCTCTCATGGCCTGTAAAGGTGAGACCCTGGGGATTTGAAGTGGGTGGGGGTGGGGCAGAGGGGAAAGGCCTGGGTAATGGAGATTCTTTGACTGGGATGTTTCGAGTCTGTGGGGGGACTGTTCAGAGTGTCATCACTTACCATGACTGACCTGAATTTGTAGCCTGAGACAGCTGCCTTGTGTGGGACTGAGATGCAGGATTTCTTCACGCCTCACCTTTGTGACTTCAAGAGCTTCTGGCATCTCTTTCTGCAAAGGCATCTGAATGTGTCTGCATCCCTGTTAGCATAATGTGAGGAGATGGAGGGATAGCCTACCCCCGTGTCCACCATGACCCCTGTTCCCACGCTGACCTGTGTTCCCTCCCCCGTCATCTTTCCTGTTCCAGAGAGGTGGGGCTGGATGTCTCCATCTCAGTCTCAACTTCATGCTGCATTGAGCTGCAACCTCTTACTTCCCTACTGAAAATAAGAATCTCAATAGAAATTTGTTTTCTCAATATTTGCCATGAGAAGTTGATGGGTTAATTAAATAAGTCAATTCCTAAAATTTGAGAGAGGAAATAAAGACCTGAGAACCTTCCAGAATCCACATGTTCCCTGTGCTGAGTCTGTTGCAGGTGGGGACTGGAGAAGGCTGTAAGGAGCCGAATGTGGACGGGGCCTGTGCCCAGTTGCTGTTCAGTCCCTCATGGGCTTTATGTGGTCAGTCCTCAGCTGGGTCACCTTCACTGCTCCATTGTCCTTGTCCCTTCAGTGGAAACTTGTCCAGCCGGAGCTGTGACCACAGAGGCTCACACATCACCCAGGGTGGCCCCTGCACACGGGAGTCCCTGTGCTTTCTAAGACAAATTTTCAGATCCATTCAATTCTGCCCTCCTTCTAGGGCTCCTCTTCTGCTCTGCTCTCCTGCCCTCTCTCCCTGCCCTGGTTCTAGTGATCTTGGTGCTGGCTCAAATCCCAACTCAAATCTAAAGCAGAGTGAAATTTAGGTTTATACTTGTTTGTGAAATTGGAC